TTTACGGAACAACCTGATTTCCCAAATCTGTTCAAAGTAGTGTCACTTTTGCTGTCCGTTCCGGCCACTTCAGCATTTACAGAAAGAGTATTCTCTGTTATGAACGCAAAGTGGCGGGACGACAGGAATAAAGCTTCATTAAAACTAATTAAAAATGAACTTTTAGTTTACTTAAATCTTTGTTTACCATATTTAGAGGCTATTAATGTATTTAAGAGTGACAGCAATTTGTTACTGGCTGCTAGGTGTAACAAAAAATATGTTTAAAAACAAAAAACCTCCGGGTACCGGATTCTTAGCGGGTATCCGACCAATTTCTACAAACAACCTTCTCAACCATAACCTATCCTTTAAGAAGTAAAAATAAAAGGTATAGAACATTATCCGGTTATTATGCAAATTGACTGATTTCGCTTATTAACTGTAACGTAATACGTATGTGTTAAGACGATTATGAAAAATAAGGAATGCAGGAGGCTTTCTTCATAACCATTCTTAATGTAATACAAAATTTCTTTTTCTAATCAAACAGCAAACAGTACGTATAGATATACAATAAAGAGTATGTCACTTATAAAAAATAACTATTTAGTAAGTTTGTCCTTCTCGGCTTTCCGGTTTAGTACACTAAAGTTTTAGGCAAGCACTAACGTAATAGCACCTCGCAATGCGTCTAAAAACATGGAAGCCTGGCGTTCTTGAAATGTTAAGGCTGGCCTTAATCTTATAGAGCGTTCACCACAAACTCCAATATTTATTCCTATAAAATGGACATAAATAAAATACAACAGTAAAATACAAAAGGTAATTAATCTCATACCTAGTTCTTGAAGCTTTAAAATCAGTTTCTGCCTCATTTTACTATCAGCAGCATTGAAAGCTAAAAATGTTCCTCGGCCCCGTACAGAATTAATCACGCTGGGAAATTCATATTGCAGATGAAAAAGTTCATTCATCAATTTCTTACCAACCTTATTGACATTTTCTATTAATTTTTCTTGCTGCATAACATTCAAAACTTCTTCTAGTATCAGTAATTTACCAGGGTCTCCCATCCATGTGTTAAAAATTCGGTATGATAACGATGGTCTACAAGTATAAACAGTTCAAGAATAGTACATTGTGCACCTAATAAAAGCTGCAGGTTATGGATAGAGCGTAAACTAATGAATTATGTATAGTACCATGAATACTCTTATATGGTGTATATACCTTACATACTAGCCTCATACCACTTCGGTTGGTCAACCCGTAGAAATCTATTAGCAAATAGTTGTAGCGAGCACGACTGTGTTTGTGTATGATCGGGCACACGTGTGTTTGAACGGTTTATCGATTTGCCGACTAGCCGCGGGCGCCTTTCTTCATGTAGACCGTATTTGTAAATGTGTGCGTCGTACCTGCGTTCTGGGAACGCAGTTAAACAGTTCAAAAAAAAAAATATCCGGATGTTTCTAGAAGAGTCCCGAAAGGAAACAAAAGAGTATTTAAAGGAAGAGAGGATCGCCGAGAGGAGAAGAAATAAATTGACTGTTACAGAAGTGAATCCAGAAATAAATTGACAGTGATAACGGTGAAATAAATAGCGCAGTGAATAGTGATATATCAACAGTAGTGTAAATAAATAGTTTTTGTCGTTATCAGTTATAGAAGTTAATTTTGTTAAACCCACGAATATTACATAGTAAACACTAGATCTTTCATTGAGATCCAATTTAATCAACCGGATGTAACTAATAAATACTATGTAATACCATGCTATAAAATCCTCGAATTGAAACAAGAATATCAAAAATCGCGGACTTCTTTTGCACCATAATTTTACCAAGATTTGGTTAATACTATATCACATGTAGAATTCAAAATACTATAACAAGTAAAAGTAAGGTGTAGTAGGTAAACAGTAAAATTGTTTTGATTGATTTGATCTCGTAGGTATTGTTCAGTTTTATTCACTTAATAGGTATTTATTTTAATGAAAAGATGGTAAAGATGTCAAATAAATGAATTATTTGAAACTCCTTCTTTGAACCTCGAGTACTTTGTGAAAAAGCCTACCCATATAAGCTCATGTAATTTACATTACGTAGATTTAGTCTGTAAGGTGGATAATAGCTGTCTATTAAACACATGATTAGTGTGCCAATTTTATCTTGCAATTGGAAACATAGAATCGTTTTTAGTGGTTTTGTTTAATTTACTCGGAGACGAATGCAGTTTTAATTAATCAAATGGTGTACGAAGAAACTGAGCCTTCCATATTATAGCCATCATATATTATTTAAGAAAATAGCACTAAGGCTTCCTTATCTTTCAGTGACATTATTACCTATTTATATAAGAAGTTGAGTCGGTACCTACTATACTGAGTTGAAAAAACAATTTTTAAAAATAAGGGTAGGTATGTGGTACGTATATGCGCTGTACGGGTGCGAAATATGGACAGTGGACGCGGCGGAAAAGAAAGGGTTAAAAGCGTTCGAAATGTGGTGTTACAGGCGAATGATGACGATACCGTGGACAGAGAAGGTTAGAAATGAAAAGGTATTAGAAAGAATAGGATACAGAGGGCTCTATGGAAGTTAATAAAAAATAGGAGAGATAAGTTGGTAGGACACTTCTCAGGTCTAGTTAGAGACATATTAGAGGCAGAAACAGGAGTTAAGAGGAGTAGATATAGACCTAGATTAGATTACTGCTCGCAAATAGTTAAGTGTGTAGGATGTTCTAGTTTTAGGGAAATGCGAAGATTACCCCAGAATAGGAAGGAGTGGAGGTGCGTGTCCAACCAGTCTTAGGACTGACGACCTTATGATGATGATGCGTTGTATATTCTATTTTCTCTATACCGATGCATATTAAATTTTTTATAATTGTAAGCCAATTTATTGCCACCTATTAAAAGATTTTCAAGATTTACAAGTAAATTTGTTTTTTTAACAAAATAGGGCGTATAATTAATGACATTGTATTTTATTTTGGTTTAATAAAGAATTCGTATCATTGGTAAAGAAACTTTCAAATTCTGCTTAAAAGGTCTTACTTCATCTCCGCAGTATGATAGTAGCCACCGACTTGCATTTTTTTGCTGAAGGTTACCAAGTCAGGAGGAGTAGGCAAGTTGAAGTATTCGTGACACCACATCTTTCCTGTCACACCACATCCTGTCTGCACTTCATCAATTAATAAAGAAGCAGAATTTTGTTTTGCAATCAATTGTAATTTTTGGAAAAATATTGGCGACGCTTCATTATCTCCTCCTTCTGCTTGAATTGGTTCAACAATAATTCCTGCTACCGGTTTTCCCTTTTTTCGATATTTTTCTATTAATTCTTCGACTTCTGCAAGGCATCGGTCGTCTTCCTTGTCATTTTCGCACATGTTTTCATTCAACGGGTATTTGTATTTTGGAAAATGAGCAATGGGCCAATCGAATGCCGGAAAGTCAAGTTTGTGAATGGCTTTCGAATGGGTGACGCTTAAAGCTCCCAATGTTCTACCATGAAATGATTCATAGAATGAAAGAATCGAAAGCTCTGGACAACCTGGTGGTAAATTGGTAATACTGGTTTTCATTTCCGTTTCCGTATAGTCTGTGTCATTTCCACGTATTTTCCGTTGATAAGAAATAAACATGTGCTTCATTGCATTCTCATTCGAACAAGCTCCACACATCATTGTTACAACATTTGACATTTGAGGCGGTGCTACCTGTATGAAAATCATACGAACTTTGGAGTTAATAGTCCTAATAAAAGCTAATTTTAGCCTGTCATTATCCAAAACTATAGCATTCGTATTAAGAAAACAGAAAGCAATTCTATTTTATAATATAAAAAGAAATGGGATATTTAATTTGATAATTGTAAATGATTAAAAAACGCAAAAGATTTTACTGGAAAGGTTACTGAAAAAACAAAAAGCTACTTCTTGGACTTGCACTCTTTCGTTCACGAAAATTGTTTATGGTGACATGACGTAATATCATAAAATAATATGTATTCAGTTATTGCTGAAAAGTTACAGTCTGGAAATCACAAAGTATATAGGAATACCAACGTTGAGTTAACTAGAGATATTTCACGTAATCAGTGACGAAAAATTGTTAAGTGTTTTACAAAATTGCAAGAAAAACAAGGGAAAAACTATTCCTTATAATGGGGATGAAGTGAATTTTACATATTGTTTTAATGTAAAACGCTGTAGGAATCTGTCATAATTTGAAGAAGGCAATTTTCAGAAAGGTCTTGTTATGGTAGTATAGTATCAATTTTCCTAAGAATTTTACTGTGGCATATGTGCTCTACAAATAATACTGTAATATTATAATTTGTTTTCGGGCTTTCAGGCCGTCCTGCCCTTGAAAATACTTTTCGCAGTTGTATATGAATCGCCGAGAAACAATTTCCAAAGACAACGACCAGAAAGCCCAAAAACTAATAATAATAGTACTGAGGACGCCGGCCGTGAAAGCCTACGTTTAAATAACACTNTATTCATTACTTAAAATAAAGATTATACCTGAATATCGTTGAGGTCTTTAAAAAGCTGTTTAGACCTTGGTCCAGGTATTTCTGTATGAACAGTAGGTCCCGAAGGCTCTGGAAGATTTGAAGACGAGGTTTGTGCATATCTAGCCAAATCTAAACAAATTAATACCTAAGAAAAGTGCTTTTTATTTTTACATTCAAAAATTTCAAGCGAATTAAATTACGATAGAGAAAAAAATTTAAAAAGGTACGAATTGAAGTAAAGAGGATTTAACTTCTTGCAATTCCATATTAAAAACACAACAATAAACACAAGTATAATATTTTATTCTTCCACGTGAAGAAGCCACTGTGCGAAGAAACAAACATTGTGGATCTTTACAATAATTTTTTTGTAATGCAAGCGTTGTGTTAGTTTTTGCGTTATTAAAAAGCTATCGAAGAAGTTTTAAATTATTCCAGTTCCTTATTAACAACACAACAAACAAACAACAAATCCACAATTCTTAGTATAATATTTTTTTGTTTTTTTATTTTAAAAATAATTTATACAATCACTAATCACACATCCACTTCAGGTAAAAGAATAATATTATTCCCCCACATGGAGAAGCCACTCTGTAGTAAAATAATTATTGTGAATTTTTAGAATATATTTCATTACCTATGTAAATATTGTGTTTGTTATTCTGTATTGAAAAGCTGTTTAATTTCTTGTAACTCAATATGAACAATACGACAACGAAACGCAATATTTAGTTACAAAACTTTTATCGTGTATGAATAATACTATTCTTCCACATTGTTGTCTTTTTGTTGTTAAAAAGTTATGTGTAAGACTCGAATCAGTGAAATTTTAATTTCTTCTAACTCCATAATATTCTTTCACCGGAAAAAGCCACAGTGGGCCGAAATATTTTTTGTGGATATTGATAAAAAAGTTTTTTATTTTGTAAACATTGTATTTTATATTGTTGTTAAGCAAAATTTGTTTAAAAATCGTATCGTATATTTGTTTTAATATCTTCTAACTCCAAATTAACAACACAAAAACAAATACGGGAATTATACATTATTCTTCCACTTGTAAAAGCTGCAGTGGGTAAATAATTATTGTGGATATAGATAAAAAAGTTTTTATTATGTAAAGATTGTGTTTCTTATTGTGTTATTAAAAAATAAGAATCGAATCGAATTTGCTTTAATTTCTTCTAACTTCATATTAACAATAGAACAAACAAACACAATTATTAGTTTAAAAAAATAAATTACGTATTTCAAATAGCATTATTCCTGCACATTTAGAAGCTACTGTGTATCGAAATAGAAGTAGATTTTTACAGTAAATAAGTTTCTCATTATTAGATTAATTTAATCACAATTATCTAGTTATAAAATTTTTATCGCAGACAATAATTTTTATTTACGTATAAGCCATAAACATCTACAGAAAAGTAACATTTTTAAAACTTTAAAGCTTAAAAACAAATAAATATTAGCTTACATTTTAGGTTATTTGGAATATCTGCAATCCGTTTGTTCGTAATTGCAGATTTCATGTTTCTTGTAAAGGACATGGTAAAACGAAATCACTAAAATAATAATAAATGCCAACACACTGCACTTTCACTTATATTATTAACAACGGTTCCAGAAATATTCAAATATTTTTATTTAAAAGTAACAATATGGGTGTGTATATAAATGAAAATCGACCGCAACCAGCTCACCGAGTAAATATATACGTAGCTTATATACAGTTCTGGTTCCTGTGAATGAAAATTCTGTATATAAGTGAACATATAGTACGTATTTACTGCTCACGCGCCGACTAAAAACATATCTCCCTTATCAGTATTGATGCGATGGTTGTGAAGAACGTAAAGTTTATTTGATCATATATATATAGGCAATTGTACTCATTGTAATTTTAATAGCTCCTACGAAATCGTGGACTTAGATCGTAATAATAATAACTGACGACCAAATTAACATTCTGAACAGCTTCAAAATCCGTTCACCGTACGCTATAAGCAACTAAAAACAAGCAGATGGAGTAGCGGCTTATAAATAGTTCATGATGAAATAATAATTTACTATCCAATTATTACTTTTTAATATTAAAACTCATCATAATCATTATGGTCTGTTTTAAATTTTTGTACCAAAATAAATTCCAGCAATTCGAATTTTTGTGGAACAAAGTTTCCATCTGCATATACTAAAGTTAATAAAAGAAATATAGAGAGAAGCAGGTTAATATGCGTTCTATACATATACAAAAGAATATCTGTAATGATTAGATGAGGAATGTTCTCCTAATTTAAAATTTGATCACTGGGTACAGGATAACTATTAGGTACCGCATCAATAGCTGCGACGGTACCCAGCAAAACCACTATGGTTAATAGTTCATGTACAAAATAATTCGAAGTGGTCTGTGTTCCGTCGAAAATGCCAGACGCGGATCGCGATTTCGATCTTTTTGGATCTCATCAGCGCGTCGCAGGCAGCTCCCACACAACACAGACCAACCTTACCTGCTGTCTTAACAGCGCGTTTTAGAATTATTTTGTTCGATTATGGTAACGTGCCTATCACGTTGAGGTGAGCTACGCCGGGATTCGTTTCAGCAAGTAGATATCCATATTTTTAAATGGACCTTGTTGGAGCATATGTAATCCTCAAATGTAGCATCGTACTACAGATGGCGCTCACCACGCCATTTGTAGTATTTTCTAAAACGCGCTGTTAAGACAGCAGGTAAAGGTTGGTCTGTGTTCTGTCGGAGCTGCCTG